AAAAATCTATTAGCTAATACATCATATTAATTACATAAAATTAATTATTATGTTGTTATACCTATTCTTTCCTAAAACAAAAATATTGCTATGATTATGACATCCTCCTCGCAAATAATAATTATTTTATAATAAACCAAATTTCAATTTTCTTCCCCTCTCTCTCTCCAACTTATTATCTTTTTCACTCGAAATATTACACCCTAATTTCTGAGTCATTAATAAACTAAATAAACCTCAAATTACAATTCCAGATAATTAATAACCTCAAATATACAAATTAGTCTCCAAAAATAATAACACAGTTGTCTCTAAAATATAATTTATACAAATCTCCAAAAATAATATATAGTAATGGGTCCCAAATATCTAATTCAATAATTCTTTAAATGCTTCAACTTCACTTGCCACTAAATTGCTCCACACCCAAAAAATAAATTAACTCAAGAAGTATACAATATCATAAGAATAACAATGCTTAAATAGAGAATAAATTAATAGGGATCTAACAATTTATGACGTGGCACAACTGATTCGAGACCTCACCCACCTCATCCAAGTACAACCGCTTATCTGACCATATTAGTTCAAGCTACTGGCAAGGTCCACTCGATCTATGTACGGAGCACTTTCACGTCATTTAGACAGACAAATCAATACTAACTACAAAGCATAACTTCACAAAATTTAACAAATAAATATAATAATCAAACGTATCAACAAAAATGATTCTACAGAATTTATCAGATGACCAAAATAATCAAAAGGAGTACAAATTGAATATAATTAAAATGAAACTCTTTGCAAAGAGATTTAAAATTGTATACCATCTGAATTATCTCTAAACAATCTCCTCTATTACCAACACTTAACCATTTGATGTTTCACCATAGATCTCCAAAAATAATAGATTAAAATTCTAAGGCATAAAGCATGTAAGGTTTGGTAAATCTACAACTCTCCTCTTTGATAAAATTACTAACTCTCACTATAAATATTCCCAAACTAAATTCAAAATTTTGATCATAAAGAGAGAGAGAGACACACACACACACACACACAAATGGACCAAGAAGAAGAAGAAGAAGAATAAAAAGAAGTTGAAAGGGTGAACTCAAATTTGTAGGCAAAATAAAGAGTAATCTCCAAGTAAACTTGGAGGGAAAGAAAAAAATTACCTAAAGGCAAAGAAAACTTGCTTGGAGGGAAAGAAAATAACATTTTCTTAGAGGGAAAGAAAAAAAAAGAAACATGGCATGGCCTAGCACCCATGTGAATTTTGTTTGGAGCTCAAGCAAAATAAAATAGAATAAAAACCCTAAGAGATGAATAAAATGATGAGGTAGAGGTAGAGATAAAATAAGTTAAGTTTTCATCTAAAAATCGCACCCCCAATTTATTATAATAAACCACAAATACTTCTCACTGAAATATTAATACCTAAAAAATATGAGATTTCATTTGAAAACCCTAGCCGCCATACATCTTTTTTTCACGCCATTCTCAACTTCCTCACCTTGTGAAGGTCAAGTTCATGCAACTCATTATTCTTAATCTCTTCTTCAAAGACTATTAAAGGTTAGTTTATGTTTAATTTTGTATGTCTCATATAAGTGCATTCTTTAAATAATATTTTATATCATTTCTTTATTTACTCTGTCTTACATTTCTTTTTCTTTTTTGCTTCCAACCAATTTTTATATTTTATTGTTTTTCATGTTCTTACATCAAAGAAGTTTCAAACTTAATTTGTAGAAATTAACGTATTTTATAATTTTTTATGAATATTTATTTTTACTTATTTGTCTTTTAGACTGTTAACTAGTTTTTAAATATAAACGATATTATTAAATCTATCATAGATTATATACAAATTGACAAATATTAATATTACATTATTAAGCATTTTTTTAAAAAAAAAATTTTAGTTCCCGTGCATAACTTTGGTGCTAAATTAAAACAAAGTGACATTTCAATGATAAAAGTTTTAGAATTTTTAAAGCTTCACCCAAAAAATTTTAATTTTTGTTATTTTTTAAATATTTATAAAAAATATTTGCTAACTTAGCATATTAATTATTAAAAAATAATGACTATTTTCTACCACCCTTTTCCAAAATAAAAATGTTGCCATAATTATACCATCTTTTTTGCAAATAATAATTATCCCATATTAGGAAGAAAAAAAAAATCAATTTTCTTCTTATTCTCTGTCCCATCTATTCTCTCTCTTACCCAAAATTCAAAAATAAATATAGAGTAAACATAAAGCCTCAAAAAGAAGTTTTACAAAACAACATATTTTAATACAATCATATTTTTATTTTATTTTTTCAATACTATTTTATTTCTTTACATAGTTGCAAGTGAATGGATTATTGCAAAATAATATTTTATCTAAGAAACTCTAAGTGGTTTAAAGTATTAATCTAATTCTTTTATTTTTTTTATTTTTAAGAATATATAATTAAAAATATATATGTGACATATAACTATTGGCTCATCTAATCCATATCTCATTTGAAAATTTAAAATCTTTTAAATGGAAAGTCTAAAATAGAATTTTATTTATATTTAAGTTACATCTCATTTGAAATTTTGAAATTTTTAAATGAAAAGTTCAAAATAAAATTTTAGTTTCAAATCAATTTTTTAAAGCTCAAAACCCAAAATTTATTTGGTTTACAATTTTTTCAAAACTGTTTTCAATCAATTTTTCTATATGTTATCTCTTTCTCTCACATTCTATACATCAATCAATCACTTTTTCTCTCTCTTCTTTCATTCTCTCACGTCTTACACATCAATCAATAACTTTTTTTCTCAATTATAAAAAAATTACAAATCATCCCAAATTATGAAATTCCAACTACAAAACTATTTTCAAAATATACAATCAAAAAAAATTTCAAATTTTAAAAATTCTTTTCAAAATTGATTTCAAAATCAAACCAAATGGAGCCAAAAAATTTATTGAGATTCACAAAAAATGTCAAAGGATAAAAAATAATTGATGATTTGTTATAGATTGGGAGAAGTGAAATAAGACAAACTATCATTATGAAACTCTAAGGATGAAATTATTTATATTTTACCGTAAGGTAATTTTTGTATTTACCTTATATTTTACTTTTTATATTTATCAATTATGTTATAACATATGTTTTTATTATTTAATATTTAGGGTTCACCATTAATAATACGACAACAAAAAAAATTTACTTGTGATTCTCATGAAAATAGTTAAGTTTATTTGACTGTAAATAATTTTATTGTAACTATAAGAAAACTTATATTTTTAAAATAAATGTATAATTTATTATGTATAACTTATTATGTAAAATTGTGCATAACATGAATATTATACTAGTTATAAAAATGTAAAATGTATAATGGACAATATTGTAAGAAAAAGAGCAACCAAAATGTTATGATTCAAATCATTTTTGCTTCTTTTTTTTTTTTTTTCCAAGTACATCTCAATGTGCAGTTGCTAAGGCAATTAGAGAAAATGTACCTTTGTTTTTTATAATATTTATTGGGGAAATTCTATAAGAGATATGTATCATATGCGCATTTTGTTATGATTTTTGTGCCTTTAATTTTGCCTTATTTTAGTTATGATGCGAGAGTTGTTTGGTTAGCCTTGTTTGGTTTGGTTTTGAGAGATAAATTTTTTTTAAAAAAATTGAAAAAAGAGTTTAGAATTTTTTTTAGTTTTTTTGGTTATATATCTTAGAAATAGTTTTAGAGTATGGGAGTTTGGAATGATTTGATATTTTGTTGTAGTTTAGTAGATATGTGTGAGAGAAAAAGTGATTGCGAAGGAGAGAGAAGAGAGAAAAAATGATTGAGTGATGTGTATGAGATAAAAAGTGATTCTGGAAAATTATTTCCAAAAGGACTAAACCAAACAAAATTTTAAAAAAATTTCTCCAAAATTTCTTTCTCAGAACCAAACCAAACAAGGCCAATTTTTTAATTTTGACTTCTATATTATTGAATTATGCCACTTTTTTTATGATTGGATGTCTAGGTCAGTTTACGTGTACCTTGATTAATTTGAGAACTCACGCAAAGTGCACCCTCCACTTGGATCGAGCAAAACCCATATGCATGGCCTCAATGAGTTGATAGCACCTAATGGGGTGGATCGGCCAAATCTCGAGCAAAGCCCGTGTGCGTGGCCCTAATGAGTTGTGTTAATCATATAGTTTGATTTTGATGATATCTAAAATATTATGGGATAATTTATTATTTTTTAATATACATATTTTACATTTTTTTGCACAAAATATCATCTGTTAAAATATATATTATATGATGTATGTGTTATAAATATGGGTCATGTTTAAGTGTGCAACCCCCTTAAGGTTGCACACCATATGCAACCCAATTGTTAGCCGTTAGATTACAATAATTGATCAAGACCATTGAATTATTTAATCGTGAAAAAGTTGAAACCGGGTCAATCGGTTAATGCTTGTATTTGTATTTGCATTATTGCATCCCACTCACTCTTTGTATTTCGTCTCTATCTCTCTCTGTGTAAGGTTGAGTCAGTGTAACCCTTGATTTCCATTAACAGCGAGAAGTCCCTGCTGGGTTGGTTCCATTGACGAAGCTCTGTAGGGAACAGTATAACGGGTGATTTCCAACAACAACGGAACTACAAGGCTGTGTTGGTTCGATTGCTGAAGTGAAGCCCTTCTCTCCAACTAGATATAAGGTCTGGAGCTGTCTCCCTCTCTCTGTATCCCTCTCTGTCTCTCTGGCCTCTTCACTTCAGCTATTTTCCCTCAACTAAACCCCCATCCTAACTTCAACCGCTTTACGCTTCGCTCAAACGGAAACCCCTCCATTGGCAACTAACCTTTCTCTTTCTCAAGCGAGTGTTTGTGTTTGCACAAACAACTAAACCGTGTGAAAATGTCATGTTTGTGTTTGTGTGAACATTTTTCGGTCATCAAGTAATTGTTTGTACTAATTTCATGTGCAGTATGGCCCCAGCAGAAGTTAAAAGGGAATGTGATGATTATGGCATTCCAAATGAAGCTGATGACATTCGTTTGATAAATGAAAGTCGGGCGGAACCTTATCATGGTTGCGAAGTTGGTCCGAGCAATGAAGAAGCAACCAACGTGAACGTTGAAGATGGCGAAGCCGATGTGAAAAAAGAAATGATTGACGATGCTCATCGCAATGACATGGTTGGTGATGTTGAACGTGCTATTCTGGAACAGAAATTTGATTCGGTCGAATATGGAGAAGCTTTCTACAATGCATATGCTAAAGCCAAGGGATTTAGTATACGAAAATCCAGATTTAATACAAATAAAGAGGGAAAGGTCGTTAGTAGGCTGTGGTTGTGTTCAAGGGAAAGTCAGAGATTACCAAAATACTTGGACCGTGTTGCTGAGAAGAATAGAGCTCCCAAGGCACTAACAAGAGTAGGTTGCAAAGCCCAATTTCACATATAGTACGATGCAGATGCTGGTGAAGGGGGAAAGTATGTTGTGACTCACTTCGTCACAGACCACAACCATGAATTGGCGGAACAACACTGTGTGATGTATCTGAGGTCACATCGCACTTTAAACAGCGCTGACAAAGCTCAAGCAATGGCTATTCGCAACGTCGGTATGAAGACTAGCCAAATCATGAACTATATGGTAATCAATCCAGGTCTTATGAGAATGTTGGTTTCGTCCGTACGGATTTGCACAACCATATTCAAGCCGAGCGTAGAGCTGAAGTTGAGGATGATGATGCGGAGGGTGCGTTGGTTTACCTATGTGCAAAACTTGATGTTGATGCACATTTTTTTTACAAGTATGATGTGTGTAACGATAACAAGCTACAAAATCTGTTCTGGGCAGATTCGAAATCGCGGGCCGATTACACAAAGTTTGGTGATATGTTGATATTTGACTCAACTTACAGAACCAATGCATACAAGAAACCTTTTGTCATGTTGGCAAGTGTGACTAGCCACTTTAGGACCACGATATTTGCATGTGTTTTGCTAGCTAATGAGACAAGTGAGACATACACATGGGTTTTGGAAACATTTATGGAGGCGATGGGCAATAAAGCATCTGTGTCCGTACTGACAGATGGGGATAAGGCGGTGCGAAAGGCAATCAGAAGAGTATTTCCAGACGCAAGACATCGATTATGTAATTGGCATCTTGGGAAAAATGTTGTTTCAAATGTTCACATAAGTGGCTTTGCACATGCTTTCAAGCAGTGCATGGACATGGAAACGGATGAGACAAAGTTTGAGCATGGCTGGAAGACAATGGTTGAAAATTTTGGACTTCAAACCAACAGTTGGGTGTTGAAGACATATGAGAAGCGTCATATGTGGGCTGAGGCATATATGCGTGGACATTTCTTTGCTGGAATGAAGAGCACTCAACGCTTGGAGTGTATGAATGCTTATTTCAATCCCTTCCTCCAACACAAATTGAAGCTACATGAATTTGTTAGGCACTATAATCGGGCTCTTGCAAGGATAAGGTATAACGAGGCTGGAGATGATGCTGAAACAAATAATACTTTTCCGATATTGATTACTCCATTGCGAGATATAGAGAGACATGGAGCTGAGCTATTCACCCGAAATATATTTAGAATGTTCCGTGATGAAATCTTAGAAGAGGGGAAGTTGAATGTCAAGGATGTGTTCCCTTTGCCGGATGGTCAGAAATGCTACTATATTCATAAGTACAAATTGAAGGATAGATCATGGATAGTAATACACAGTCCAACGGATGCTGTAATGAGATGTTCTTGCATGAAGTTTGAGTCATTGGGGCTACCTTGCTGTCACATGGTATGTGTTATGAAAGCCGAAAATTTAACGCAAATTCCCCCTACTTGTGTGCTGCATAGATGGACAAGGGCTACAAGCAAGGATGGCCAGTAATGGCCTTAACCCTCAATTGATAGCACTACAACACAGACGGCCCGGTATGGGATATTGAGTTCTTCCTACAATGAAATGTGTTTCTATGCCTCGCAATCAACGGAAGGTTTCAAAGAGACTAAGGATGCATGTCTTCCGATGACGAGCCGAATGAAGAAGTCATATGAGAGGAATCTGAATGATGGGAATGGAAATAAAGGGAAACATTCATTCCCTCGATAATTTGGAGTAGAAGATCTTGATGTTGTGAAGACAAAAGGGAACCCGAGACGGGCCTCGTTCAATTGTCGAAGACCAAGAAAATGTGGGAATTACAAATGCATTGGGCACACAAAGCGAACGTGTCCTAAGGTTCGGTTTAGCCGAACAGTGGGTAGTAACTCAGATGCAGATACAACCCATATAACTGACCGTGAGTACAATGCGGAGTCATTGCCCGTTCGCTGCAAAACTAGGTTAGTGGATCCAAGTACACCGCACATTAAGCAACGGCGACTATTTTTCGATGCTTCTCCTGATTCCAAGCAGCCCATTGGCCAATACGTTAGTGTTGAAGCAGCAGTGTGCAAAAATGATTCGACCACAATTGATGAGGTGAATCAGGTAATTGTATAATTTGTATGATTTACTTATTCCCTTAATTTATTAGGTAGAATGGAAATAATGTATGTAGTTTTCATTTTGCACGGATTGCTGTACGTAACATGTAAATCATTGGTTACGTACAATGCCAGGAAATGGCATAACGTTACTTATGTACAAGGCCACGAGTTGTAAATTTCCCATATTGTTTAGAGTGATGTTGTCATTTGTGTTTGCAGTGACTTGTGATATTGAAAACTAATTGAATGTGAGATATATATGGGTTGTCTGTGTATTGTTTTGGGTGGGAAATTGGCTTATGTCTGTATTCCAAGATTCCTATTACGGGTTGCTTGTTTCTGTTCCATATTTGGTTGGATCTAACTGAAGGGTTTTTTGCAGTGTGGCTTATCAACTAACAATGTGTTTGGCTTCGTATTGATTTGTTATGACTTGTTTCGGTAAATTAGTATTATATTTCGAGTAAAACACGAATTGTGTCCATGTGGGTTTGCAAAAAAAAAACATACCAGCACATGCATTTTGTATATAATCCAAATGGCAGTTAATTTTGGGTGTTACTTGGAGAAAGTAACCCAACGAACTCGTTACTTTATCTCCATGCCGATTGCTATATGAATTACCAGTAACGAACAAGAGTTGTGAAATCATTTCATGTTAACTGTGAAAGTGATGGGTTTATTGTTAGTAAAATTATGGTTGGCCTATATCGACAGCAACGAAGCAGTAATTTAAAGTTGACAAGTTAAAGAAGAAAATCAAGCAATTGTGGTATTGGTTCGAATGCCTGAAAAGGATGAAGACTTCTTTCGATGAACTAATGGTAACAAAGTAGAAAGTATAAAGTAGAAAGTAAGTTGTTGTGCTATTGTGTTGTTTGTAACAAAGTAGAAAGTAGAAGGGAAAAAACTACTCAGAAGTTACAATGTAAAAACTAAGTTATTGTGTTGTTTTTCATATCCTCTCTCTCTGCAAACATTCTGCCCTTTATAGCTATTATTTCCCACAACCCCATGATCTGCCGATTCTACAACTGCTTCTGTGTAACTTCTGTAACTGCACGGTCATTTCCATGTCTTGAAACCACATAAAACCTTCACTTGTACCTGTCGAAGTGCATATAATTGAAGTTGCCACCTGTGCCCAAGTCCTTTTAGCCTTTCCTCGACAGATACAGACTCCCAATTCGTTCATGTTTCCTCTTGGAGACTGGCCACTAAATCCATGAGCACTGCCACTAACTGTTCCAGCATGTAAGTCAGGTGGCATGCAAGATTCAATGTTAGTTGATAACCCTTGTCTTCAGGTGGACTTGCCATGTGTCCTCAATTGAATGGAGCAACTATTGGCAGGATGTGGGAAAAATAGGTACAAAGAGGAATTTTTTTAAAATAACCAATCATAATTTAACTGAAAATATGAGTGAACTTTTTTTTAAAAAAAAGTAGTTTCCATTTTTTTGATTATAAACCTAAGATGTATATTTTGTTTTTGATATAAATAAGTTGTGTATTTTGGTTACGTAAAATGTAGGACAATAATTGTGTTTAAGTCATTACAATACAGAAAAAGGTTATTTCAAACATATTTTCAAGTTTACCGATATTGAATATATTTTAATTAAATTACAGGGAAAATTGAATATTTGCCAGAGTTTGATGATTCAAAGTCGGGCAGTAACAGTGAGTGGCCAAGTGTTGTGTTTCAGTGGCCCAGTTTGCAAGGATTGTGGTTGTGTTTAGTGGACAATATTCTGTCGATTTTTGTCTCATAATGATGAGGGACATGCCCCACAATGGTGAAAAGGAAGGTCGACAGGGAAGATTCAATATTTGGCACAGTGGACTTGAAGATTCGAAGTCAAGGGGCAGTTACAGTGGCAGTTATGGTGTAGATGTGTGGGATCATGCAATGATGGGCCACAAAAACAATATACGGATATCGAAACCAATGATCTCCCTTCTAGGTTTTCCAAGTATACTTAACCTCCACTTCTATCTGTCGATCTCCCTTTTCTTGTGTTTATTTCATGGCCACCAACTGTTTCAAGCTTCTGCCGATAGAGCAAGGCTCCTGCTTTGTCTCATGCTTCCTCCTGAAAGTATGCCCATTAACTCATAATGATGAGGGACATGCCCCACAATGGTGAAAAGGAAGGTCGACAGAGAAGAGTTAATATTTGGCAGAGGGGACTTGAAGATTTAAAGTCAGGGGGCAATGACAGTGGCAGTTATGGTGTAGATGTGTGGGATCATGTAATAATGGGCCACAAAAATAGTATACAGATATCGAAACCAACGATCTCCCTTCTAGGCTTTCCAAGTATACTAAATCTCCACTTCTATCTGTCGATCTCCCTTTTCTTGTGTTTACTTCATGGCCACCAACTGTTTGAAACTTCTGTCGATGGAGCAAGGCTCCTGCTTTGTCTCATGCTTCCTCCTGAAAGTGTGCCCACTAACTCCATGACTGGTGCTAAAAACTTCCCTCATCACTTCTAGGTGACCCACATGCAGAGAGCCCACTTTCAAGTGTTGGACATTCCTTCAGACTTGGCCACGTGTCCTCGATTAAGTGGACCATCTGTCGACAGAGACTGGAAAAACTTGGTGCAAACAATGGCCCCCTTGTTCAAGTTAAATATCATATGAATTAACCTTGCGAAAGTTATTGAGACCCCCTCCAATCACCACCTGCACCACCACCCCACTACCCCACCCCCCCACACACACACACACGTGGGGGCTGGTGATTGCAGTGAGAAGGAAAAAAAATAAAAGAAAAAAAAATTAAAAAACTGGCCAATCAGAGAGATAGGGGGTAATGGGGGCGGTCCCCTTGCGGGGGTCCAAGTCATATGATATTGAACTTCAACAAGGGGGCCCAATAGCAAATTTCTTAATACGGGCCCAAAACAAACATAAACTACAGCCCAATATAAGAGGATTTAAATATACTGGCCCCATCAGAAGCTATAAAAGACCCACCTTTTCAACTTCAAACCACTTTATTTCCCTCTTATTCGAACTCCCAAGACTGTACTCCTTCTTGTCAAGCATTGCCGTTCAAAACCAGAGCACCACAAAACCCTAAGCCATGGCTCCGAAAAAATCTCAACCATCTCCATCTGAGGAGAACAATGAAGACCTACTCCGCTTCCCAGACCCTATCAGAGCACGTATCGCTCCTCTAAAA